CCAAGTCAAGTACTCCTTTGAATAGCTTACAGCCAAGGTACCAAAGGAGCAGGCAAGAATGTAGTCTCAAGGTCACAATGTCTCTGGGAGTTCAGTAACTCACGGGTCAGCGCTCCCCTACAGGGGATCAGGCATAAAGGATGGTCAGACAGCCAGGGTTTCAACAGGATGAACGGTCAGCAGAGAAGGTCAGGAATCAAGCCGGTTCAGCAATGAAGCAGAGAACACAAGATACCAGGTACTAGAGCGCTCATGGGAAAACAAACTGTCTTTGAAAAGCCAGCCATCCGACTATCAGGCCTGGTTTGTGCCTTAAATACACCTTTCTGCAATCAGTCCCAGAGTTTGGCTGATTGCAGATGGTGAGCTTCTGGCTGCTGATGTAGCACCCGTGGACAGCTTGGTACTAGCAGCCCACACGGAGTAGGTGAGTCCCACCACCTTTTAGTGCTGAGTCCATTCCTGACAACAGATATCCCCCAAATGTCAGAAACAGTACAGTTATCCCCCAAATGTCAGAAAACAGTACAGATATCCCCAAATGTCAGGACAGTACAGATATCCCCCAAATGTCAGAACGTACAGATATCCCCCAATTTCATTCTAGAACAGTACAGATATCCCCCAAATGTCAGAACAGTACAGATATCCCCAATGTCAGGACAGTACAGATATCCCCCAAATGTCAGGACAGTATGCAGAAATCCCCCAAATGTCAGGACAGTACAGATATCCCCCAAATGTCAGAACAGTACAGATATCTCCAAATGTCAGGACAGTACAGATATCCCAAATGTCCTCTTTTTAGTACAGATATCCCCCAAATGTCAGGACAGTACAGATATCCCCCAAATGTCAGAAAGTGACAGAATATCCCCCCAAATGTCAGAAATACAGATATCCCCAAATGATCCCTTTTTGCAAAGTAGACAGTCCGACGTATTTCATAAGAGGCATGGCAAGTTTTTTGAAGTTGTAATTTTTCTGTCGTAATTTTTTGGAAAATTAAGAAATTAAAAACATTTTTTTGACAATTTTTTTTTTTTTACATTGCTTTGCTATAAGCAAGTGTTTAACTGAATTAAATCGATCCATTCAGGTTTTTATGTTGTGATTAGCTGTGATTGGCCACGGCTAATCACATGACACATATGGGCTGTGATTGACCCAGCCTGTGCATGTGATCACTGTGACCATTCACAGCTAGACACTAGTATACAATGGATGGCATGAAAGGAAGCCATCCATTGTTTACAACTGTCATGTGACCTGCTGTGATTGGTCACAGCAGGTCACATGGTACTGGCAATAGGCCAGTACACAGATCTGTTATCGGCTGTGTCCAAGGTACACAGCCAGTGACAGATCTCGCCACAGTGCTCCCTGCAGGCACATGCAAGGTGCGGGAACCAGGAAGGACGTCATATGGTGCCCACCCAGATCACCGAGAGTCCCGCCCTGTCAATAGGAAAATAACGGCCGGGTGGGACTCTTGTCGATGGTTTAAAGGTTTCAATCATGTCTCCCCTTTCCTTTCTTTCCTCCAGATTGTACATGTTAAGTTACTGAAGTCGCTCTTGATATGTTTTATCCCAAGACCTTTCACCGTTTTTGTTCCCTGTCTCTGGACTCATTCTATCTTATCAATATCTTTTTGTAAGTGAGGTCTCCAGAACTGGACAGAGTATTCTAAATGAGGTCTAACTAAAGATCTGTATAGAGGAACCAGGACCTCCTTCCTCCTGCTGGTGACCCCTCTAGTGATATAAAGATCTATATAAGGGGAATCCCTCCTTCCTCCTGCTGGTGACCCCTCTAGTGATATAAAGATCTATATAGGGGAATCGGGACCTCCTTCCTCCTGCTGGTGACCCCCTCTAGTGACACATCCTAGAATTCTATTTGCTTTCCCCACTGCCTGGCCACACTGTTTGCTCATTTTGCAATCATCTGAAATAAGTACCCCCAAGTCCTTTTTCCTCTGTAGTGCTGGCCAACACTGTACCCCCAATGTTGTACTTTCTCAAGGGATTCTTTTTCCCTAGGTGCATTATTTTACATTTAGAAACATTGAACTGAAATTTCTACTTTTTGACCAATCTTCCAGCAATGCCATATCATGTTCCACTCTACAAACACAGACAGGGATATCAACCCTATTACACACCTTTGTGTCATCAGTAGAGATGAGCGATATTTTTCAAAAATTCGATTCGGCGAATTCCAGGAAGAAATTCGATTCGATGCGAATTAATTCGCTACGAAGTTAACTTATAAAAAGGGTTTCTAGGCTTCAGAGAGCCTTTAAATTAGTGCAGAACACTGTACCTTTAATTTAAATGCCCTTGGAGATGAGGAAGGAGAAGGAGAAGGATGAGAAGAAGGAGAAGGATGAGAAGGATGAGAAGAAGGAGAAGGAGGAAGGATGAGAAGAAGGAGAAGGATGAGAAGAAGGAGAAGGATGAGAAGAAGGAGAAGGATGAGGAAGAAGGATGAGAGAAGAAGGAGAAGGAGGAGAAGGAGAAGGATGACCAAGAAGGATGAGAAGAAGGAAAGGATGAGAAGAAGGATGAGAAAGAAGGAGAGGATGAGAAGAAGGAGAAGGAGAAGGATGAGAAGAAATGGAGAAGGATGAGAAGAAGGAGGGATGAGAAAGAAGGATGAGAAGAATGAGAAGAAGGATGAGAAGAAGGATGAGAAGAAGGAGAAGGATGAGAAGGACAGTTCTGTGACAGTTTCTGTCTATTTCTGACAGTTGTGGGACATTCACTCCATACATTTCTGACAGTTCTGGGACATTCCCTCCATACAGTGGTTGAAACATTGTATCTATTTGTTTCATAATATGACATTCTGCAGATACACTTAGAGGAGCTCTGCAGATACACTTTTTGCCGGCTTGGAATTATTCTTATTTTCATCCTACTTCTTCTTCTTCTTCTTCATCCTCATCCTCTTCTTCTTCTGAGGATGAAGAAGAAGATGTAGGATGAAAATAAGATTAATTCCAAGCCGGCAAAAAGTGTATGTGCAGAGCTCCTCTAAGTGTATCTGCAGAGCTCCTCTAAATGTTATCTGCAGAATAGAGGAACTCTGCACATACACTTTTTGCCGGCTTGGAATTATTCTTATTTTCATCCTACTTCTTCTTTCTTCTTCTTCTTCATCCTCATCCTCATCTTCTTCTTCTTCTGAGGATGAGGATGAGGGTGAAGAAGAAGAAGAAGAAGTAGAATGAAAATAAGAATTCCAAACCGGCAAAAAAGTGTATGTGCAGAGTTCCTCTATTTCTGACAGTTCTCTGACAGCTTCTTCACATGTACAGCGGTTGAAACATCTGTATCCTAAATGGAAACTAATAGATATAATGTTTCAACCGCTGTACATGTGTTCCTTCTGTCAGAGAAACTGTCAGAAATAGCGGAGCTCTCTGCAGGGACACTTTTGCCGGCTGATCGGGAAAAATCCGATTCGCGCACCCGAAGTAGGCAAATATTCGGATTCGACGCAAATCAAATTTTTCCTGAAATTCGTATCGAATTCCGGTTCGCCTGGTTCGATTCGCTCATCTCTAGTCATCAGCAAAAATACATACCTTACCCAACAAACCTGTAGTTATCACTTGCATATAGATTAAATGGAACAGGACCTAGTAGAGCCTTGGGGTACACCACTAGTGACTGGTCTCTGTTCCAAGTGAACCCCATTTACAACCACACTCTGGTATCTATCAATTAGCCAGCTGCGTATCCACCGAACCACCCAAGGACTAGGTCCTAGCTTGTACAACTTTTGTATTAGATCATTATGTGGAGCTGTACCAAATGCCTTGCTGAAATCAAGATATGGTAAGTCCACAGCACCACCCTGGTACAAAATATTGGTAATATAGTCAAAAAATGCAATCACATTAGTCTGACATGATCTGCCCTCAGTAAGCCATGCTGCTTTGGATCCAGCAAGTTGTGTGTTTTTAGGTGATCAATGATCCTTCTTTTCAGGGGTGATTCCATTAATGTGACTACTACGATGTTAAACTTGCTGGCCTGTGATTGCCAGCTTCTACATTACTGCCCTTCTTGTGGATAGGTACAATATTAGCTGCCAATCAGTCATGGAAAACTTCTCCTGTTAGAAGTGGCCATCATGGCCCATTGCTTTATTAATCTTTAACTGAGCCAGTTCCTCTGCTACCTCCGTCTGATATGTACACATGAATGATCTATTGCCCTTGTTTACTCTGATTGGCTTTCAGTAGTGTCTGATGATGTATTTATTGTATGGAGCATTTAAATTGTTGCTTACTTTTATATAAGTTTCTTTTGAACTTTGATGTTGATTTTATGGACCTAAGATTAGGGGTGGTTAGGGGGAAATAACATGACCAAACTTGCAAAAAAAAAAACATTGGGGTTACATTTTTGATTGATGGAGGTTCAGTGTTGGGGTGAGCCAGAGGGTTAATTGTTGTATGATTACTTTCAATTTAACTTGTTTTTAGCTGTGAGGTACAAACTACCAGCCTCAGACCCTGGGTTCTAAAACCCAGCATAATATATATTTTTTTAATACAATTCTAAAACAAGAAAATCATATACCAACCATTTCACACTCTATTAATATTGAAAAACAGGCAATTATGGTCTCCAATTCCATAATGTTATTCTCAAGTTGATGATAATTTGTGTTCAATATTTATTTTATAACATTTTTTTTTATATTCCTATGCAGATACATTATGTAATGGCTGGATTTCCAAAGTAGATCTTAATCAGCACCTTATGACCCATGAGAAGTCCTTCAGAAAAGCTCAGTAATCAGAGACTTTTCATAGGATAGAAAACTTTTCCGTGTTCGGAATTTGACAAGTGCTTCTCAAAGAAGACATCTTTGCCACCAGAAGAAGATTCACACTGGGATAAACATGTTTAAATGTACAGAATGTGATAAGCAATTCTCAAACAAGTCAAATTTTGTTATGCATATGAGGAACCACACAGGAGAGAAGCCATTCCAATGCTCAGAATGTGACAACTGCTACCATATAAAAGGAAGTCTTACTAGACACCAGAGGATTCACACAGGAGAGAAACCACATACATGTTCCGAATGTAATGAGAGCTTCTCAGTTTCAGCACTTCTTTCTTACCATCAGAGGAAGATTCACCCAGGAGAAAATGCATTTAAATGTACAGAATGTGGCATGTGTTTTGCAGTAAAGTCCAATTTTAATAGTCATCTAAGAACTCACACAGGAGAGAAGCCATTCCAATGCTCAGAATGTGACAAGTGCTACCATATAAAAGGAAGTCTTACTAGACACCAGAGGATTCACACAGGAGAGAAACCATATAACTGTTCCGAATGTAAGGAGAGCTTCTCAGTTTCAGCACTTCTTTCTTTACCACCAGAGGAAGATTCACCCAGGAAAAAATGCATTCAAATGTACCGAATGTGGCATGTGTTTTGCAATAAAGTCCAATCTTAATAGTCATCTAAGAATTCACACCGGAGAGAAGCCATTCCAATGCTCAGAATGTGACAAATGTTTTGCCAGAAAAGCTGGTCTTAAGCAGCACCAAAGGATTCACACAGGAGAAAAGCCATTTAGGTGTTCAGAATGTGACCAGTGCTTTAACCAAATGACTCAACTTATGCAACATAAGAAGATTCACACCGGAGAGAAGCCATTTAGATGTCCAGAATGTGGCAAGTGCTTTGTGCAAAAAAACTCATCTTACTCAACACCAAAAAGTTCACACAGGAGAGAAGCCGTATAGATGTTCCGAATGCGACAAGAGCTTTGCAGAAAGGAAGTGTCTTACTATGCACCAGAGGGTTCACACTGGAGAGAAACCATTTTGATGTTTGGAATGTGGCAAGTCTTTTCTACAAAAGACACATCTTACTCGACACCAAAGGATTCACACTGGAGAGATACCATTTTGATGTTTGGAATGTGGCAAGTGCTTTAAACGAAAATCGGATGTTACTCAACACCACGGGATTTACATAGGAAACTAAGTCCATTCATTTAGTTAAATATAAATGTTGTCTTGGTCATTGTGGCCCATTGTGGACATTTAGCCATACAAGATGTTCTACACATAGAACTACCTAATGAACATCACGGATTTCCATGTACTGTTGGGGATCAGAGGCTATGATCTCATTCTTGCCAAGACTGCAGCTTGATTACATACTGCGGCATATCTTTGAATATTGTGAGATACCACCATATTGATATAGTAACTTATAATTGGATTGCAGACTTGCTTGATGGACAGTTGGCCTGTGTGAAGCATGGATGCAATTAGCGATGTTTGTTTAGTGACTTTATTTTAGTTGTGAAGTGGCCTTTGTGGATTTATAAAACTCTGTTGGAGTGGACATAATGTTTTATGGGGATCAATATTTACATTATATCATTGGCCCATTTGGAATATTACATACCCATATGTTTGAAGGAATTTCGTCAACTCTAGGTTCACACCTAAGCATTTTGCAGAAGCGCACTACAGTCCATTTAACATGATTTCCTATGGGACACATTCACATCTCAGCGTTTTCACCCGGTGAAAGCTTTTTTTTTTTCCAGCTTTTTGGAAAGGATCAGGAACATTGTTGAACGCAAAAAGCTGAGTTTTTGGTTCTATAGACTTCTATGCAAATCTGCAGAAAAACATGTACTGCATTTTTGCCATGTTTTTGATGTATTTTAAATCTGCCTAGCAACAAGAAAAAAAGAAAAAGCAAAACACAGCAAAAACCTGTCAAATATGCAAGTGCAAAAAACTCAATGCAAAACGTAATGCAGAAATGGGTCAAACGCAAACTGCATAGGTGTGAACCTATCCTTATAGATTTTATGCATATATACTTTCAGAAATCTTACCAGAATTTTTTTTTTTTTTTGTTTTTGGAATGTGGCAAGTCTTTTATACAAAAGACTATTCTTACTCAACACAAGATGATTCACACATTTGATGTGTGGAATGTGGCAAGTGCTTTAAACGAAAGTCAAGTCTTACTCAACACCACGGGATTCACATAGGAAACTAAGTCAGTTCAATTAGTTAAATATTATAAATATTTCAGATGTGGTCATTACAGTATCTGCTTAAAACCAACACATCCCACTTAGGAGAGAAGCTATTTGAAGGACCTGAATGACTCTTTTCAAAGTTTGTATTAACGTTTTGTGCTCCGATTAGATAAAGAATATAAAAGTATATATTTTTATTTATTTCAGGTACTTATATAGCGCCATCAATTTTACACAGCGCTTTACATACATATTGCACATTCACATCAGTCCCTAACCCTCAAGGGGCGTAAAATCTAAAGTCCCAAACTCACATTCATACATACATATACTAGGGACAATTTTTGTAGACAGGAGCCAATTAACCTACCAGCATGTCTTTGGAGTGTGGGAGGAAACCGGAGTACCCGGAGGAAACCCACTCAGTCACAGGGAGAACATGCAAACTCCAGGCAGGTGGTGCCGTGGTTGGGATTCGAACCAATGACCCGAGTACTGCTAGGCGGAAGTGCTAACCATTTAGCCACTGTGCTGCCCTATTTCATACTTTAACCCCTTCCCACAGACCGTACACATATATACGTACGTATATTTCCGTGGGGTCGCATATGTGTGTCTCCCCCCCTTGTGTTGGGAGTGTGCTCCCAGCACAGGGATTGGGCTCTCGTACTAACTATTGGGACCCGGGACTCCTGGTATTGAGTCACCTGATTGCTGTGATAGCCTCTGATTGACTATCACATTGATCAGCCACTGGGGGCCCATCCCTGTGTTTCCTTCATCTTCTGAATCAAGAGGAAGATATATTGCATCTTCCTCTCCTTGCAGGAGATAAAGCTGCTGTGTAAATTTAAACACAAATTGTGAAAATATAATAAAGTAATTAAATATAAAGAAAGGTCAATGTTTTGCCAGGGTTAGTGTTAGGGTCAAGGTTGGGTTCAAAAGGTTAAGCTGGGGGTCAAAAGTCACATAAGCAGTTTTTATAAGCAGTAGAATTTAAAAAAACTATTTTTTTTAAAATTAGTATTAGTGTCAGTGCATTTTTAAAAAAAAAAAAAAAAATGCAGAATGCATACCATTGATTCTGCGTCGTAATATGGGTATAATCAACAACTAACATACACATATGTGGTACCGCTGCGATTGTAAGCAGCGGAAGAATCTATTTTGGGTTGATATTTGGTGGTAAAATATGGTATTAGCAAGAAATATACAACAAAATAAAAGAAAATGATGTTTTTTACCTTTTTGGGCCAGTTTCCCTTTGATAATATAACAAAAAAAAAAAAAAATCAGGAGATATCCGCTACCATTTACCACCAAAAGAATTCCCAATTTGTCCTGAAAAAAAAAATGGTAATAAAAAAGGTGTAATCCACTTGGATAAACAAAGTATGATAGGTACAGTTTTTTTACTAAAACATGTCAACGTTGCAAAACTGAGCTTGTGCATTAAAATTAGTTTTACCCTTAGGCAGGAAGGGGGTAATGGAGCACGTGTTTACTTTATAACCGCTTCCCCACCGTCCTATAGCAGATATACCATTACACGGCTGCAGGGGTGTGCAAAATCACATGTGTGTGTGTGTATATATATACAGTTGTGTTCAAAATAATAGCAGTGTGTTGAAAAAAGTGAACAAAGCTCAAAATCCTTCTAATAGCTTTTATTTCCATCCACACAAATGCATTGGGAACACGACACATTCTATTCCAAATCAAAACATGAAGAAAAATAGATCAAATTTGTGTTGTTCCTCTAAAAAAAAAATTGAAGAAAAGTGAATATTAGACTGTTCAAAAAAATAGCAGTGTTTGTATTCTTCTTTACAAACTCAAACATTCACTATATAAACTGAAAAATGTTTGAAGATTTTGCTTTCCTTTGAATGACTTCATGAATATTTGGTTGTAGTCGCACTGTTTCTGAGAACTGCTGGACATCTGTGTTGCATGGAGTCACCCAACCTCTGGCCCCTGTGATCAGGTATTCCAGCCCAGATGATTGGACGACATTCCACAGTTCTCTATTTCTTGGTTTTGCCTCAGAAACTGCATTTTTGATGTCACCCCACAAGTTTTCTATTGGATTAAGATCCGGGGATTGGGCTGGCCACTCCATAACGTCAATCTTGTTGGTCTGGAACCAAGATGTTGCACGTTTACTGGTGTGTTTGGGGTCGTTGTCTTGTTGGAACACCCATTTCAAGGGCATTTCCTCTTCAGCATAAGGCAGCATGACCTCTTCAAGTATTCTGATGTATTCAAACTGATCCATGATCCCTGGTATGCGATAAATAGGCCCAACACCATAGTATGAGAAACATCCCCATATCATGATGCTTGCACCACCATGCTTCACTGTCTTCACAGTGTACTGTGGCTTGAATTCAGTGTTTGGGGGTCGTCTGACAAACTGTCTCCGGCCACTAGACCCAAAAAGAACAATCTTACTTTCATCAGTCCACAAAATGTTGCGTCATTTCTCTTTAGGCCAGTCAATGTGCTCTTTGGCAAATTGTAACCTCTTCAGCAAGTCTTTTTTTCCAACAGTGGGACTTTGCGGGGGCTTCTTGCAGATAGCTTGGCTTCACATAGGTGTCTTCTAATTGTAACAGTCCTCACAGGGAACGTCACACCTTCTTTCATCTTCCTGGAGCTGATTGTTGGCTGAGTCTGCGCCATTTTGGCTATTCTTCTATCCATTCCAATGGTAGTTTTTTCTTTCTTCCACGTCTTTCAGGTTTTGGTTGCCATGTTAAAGCATTTGCCATCATTTTAGCTGAGCAGCCGATCATTTTCTGCACTTCTTTATATCTTTTCCCCTCTCCAATCAACTTTTTAATCAAGGTACGCTGTTCTTCTGAACAATGTCTGGAACGACCCATTTTCCTCAGAATTTCAGAGAGAAATGCACTGTAACCAGCATGTACAACATTTGCTGCCTTCCTTCCTTAACATCCCTGGCGGTTTTCCCGAGTGTAGCTCGGGGTAAAATTTTTATACCACAAGCGGTAACCCCGAGCTACACTCGGGCTTACCATGCGGCACTGCTCTGGGGGTCCCTGCAGCACTTACCTTGTCCTTTGCTCCCACGATGTGTCCCCTGCAGCGTCCCCGGCCATCTCCTCCGGCCGATGCCGGCATCCGGCTTCTGTGTTCCGGTCCCTGTGACGTCGGGACGTACGGGCGCCGCCGGCGGCGGGAAATTTAAAAAATTAAAAAAATGTCATTTTTTTTTTCAATTTTAAATAGTAAAACATTGCTGTTTCATCCCATTTCACATACATTTTGTCCCGAGTGCTTTGTCCTGCGCCCTGCTTGCATTTTGTCTGTTCTTTCTGCCTGGAAACTTAGAAAAGTCCATGGCGTCCAAAAAGCGTCCCTTTACGTCAAAAGCGGTTTTAGACCGGCTAGAGAACAGCGATAGTAAATCAGAACCACTTGCAGAATTGAGTGATAATGATTTGTGGGGAAATTTTCCTAAAAATTACAGCCTGCAATAAAAAACTATTTCCATGCGAAAAAATGGTACCGCTTTCAGCACAAAAAATCGGAAGGAATCATACCGCCAAGGAGGTTAAATAAGGGCAATAACTGCCACCTGTTTTTCAAAGAATGAATGACCTCACTAATAGAACTCCACACTGCTATTATTTTGAACATGCCCCTTTCAATTAGTGATTCAATTACACAGAATCAGCAGCATGCATGTCATGACTGTTGGGTCTG